GAATTGAGGCAGACAATGGTATAACTCTCAGTTTGAGGCTGAAGGCTTGAGAACCAGGAGCTCTAACGTCCAAGGGCCGGAGAAGATGGATATCCCAGCTCAAGAAGAAAGCAGCTTTGCCGTGCTCTGCCTTTTTCACTCTATCTGGGACCTCAATGGATTGGATGATGCCTGCTTACACTGATGAGGTTGGATCTGTACTCAGTTTACTGATTCAAATGCTAATATCTTCTGGTAACATCCTCACAGACATACTGAGAAATAATGTTTCACCAGCTATCTGAGTATCTCTTAACCCAGTCAAGTTAACCCATAAAAATGAACAATCACATTGTTTCTTGTTTACAGTGCCATGTTTCCTTGTTCAGTGATAGACATTTAACTGTGAGTCATTCATTTTCTTTGGAATTTTATCTGTGGAAATTATTTGAGGCCCGAGACAAAGATTTACATTTGCTTCTGCTGGGCACCTGAGGCACTACCAATCTGGTACATTTTATACCAAATTATTGGCTTGAGTTTTTCCAGATCCTCTAGGTAGAGTGGATCTGACTGCATATGGTGTGAAATCTAACTTGTAGTAATGGATACTCAGGAGGTAATGCTTCCTTCCTACACTCATTACTACTGCTGAGGATTAAAGCATGCAATTTTCTTACAATTTCCTAGGTTTGGGGATGGGGTGAGTTTTTTCTAGCTCTCCTGTACATTGAGAGTACAGCCCTTTGGGGTTCTAAGCTTATACAGGGGAGTATGTGACCATGTTGGGCAGACTGGGGTTTGATCTTCTATCTCTGGTGCCCTGAGAGATCATGAAAACTGAAGTTAAATTTCATCTGTCAGCAAATGACTCTGTATTAGTTACTAAGTGCCATAATATTGTGGCATAATACCATACCATACCAAAGCTCAGTAGCTTAAATTAATGAGTATTCATTATTGCTCAAGAGTCTTCAAATTGGCTCGACGGTTCTTCTCATTCAGCTGGTCTCACTAATGTGTCTGCAGTCAGCTGTGGACAGGTAGATATCTTTGCTGCTCTTGCCTGGGCTCTCTCACGTGTTTGGAGATCTGCTGGCTACAGGCTGGTCCATGATGATCTTAGCTGGGACGGTTGTGATGGCACAGCTCTCTTCCACCTTGTCACTCATCCTCCAGCTGTCTCAGGCTTGAGGCTTGTTCTTATAGTGAAGGCAGGAGACCAAAAGAAAGAGTAGAAGTATTCATGTCTCTGAAGGCCTAAGCTTGGAACTGGCACACCATGATTTCTTCCAGATTCCACCGGCGAAAGCAAGTTACAAGTCCACTCAGATTTAAGGGGTGGGAAAGCAGGGTCTGCCGCTTTTTTTTTTTTTTTTTTTTCCTCCTCAGAGATCCTTGTTCCAAAGAGTCCACCTCTTGATGCAGGGAGCTGCAAAGTCACAGGGCAAAGGAGATGGATTCAGGTGGAGGCAGAGAATTGGTGCTCTTTTTGCAACTCATCTATCACAGCCCCCAAGACTAAAGTTGGCTTCAGTGCTCTGCTTACTTCTCTGGTTCTGCCTTTACCTAGATTTTGGCTGGAGTGATTCTTATTTTCTTGCCAGCACATTGATACATTTAAGAATATTAAAAAATATCATATGTATACATATATATTCTCTTCTTTATTGTGTTTTAATAAAAATTACTTTATTTTTGTTTTGTTTTGTTTTGCTATTTATCATGTTTTCAGTGGGAAGATCAAACAAGGCACCTGTCATACTGTCTGACTGACACTGGGTGAGTTTCTGTCTTTGCACATGTGACTGTCTACCTGAAAGTCTCTCTCCCAATCTTTGAGACTCCACTCAAATGCTGCTTTTTGTGCTTTTTTTTTTTTTTTGAGATGGAATCTCGCTCTGTCGTCCAGGCTGGAGTGCAGTGGCATTATCTCTGCTCACTGCAAGCTCCACCTCCCAGGTTCACGCCATTCTCCTGCCTCAGCCTCCTGAGTAGCTGGGACTACAGGTGCCCACCACCATGCCCGGCTAATTTTGTTTTTGTATTTTTAGTAGGGACAGGGTTTCACCGTGTTAGCCAGGATGGTCTCGATCTCCTGACCTGGTGATCTGCTTGCCTCCGCCTCCCAAAGTGCTCGGATTATAGGAGTGAGCCACCGCGCCCAGCTTTTTGTGCTTCTTTGTCTGTCCTCTTCACCTAGGCAGAGCTAGGCCCAGGGTGAGCCCCTTGTTCAAAAATTATTAACAATTTTAAGACAGTGACAGCAGAATATTCTACTAAGAGTGATGCCCTTCTACATGTGGGGTTCTGTACAACTGCACAGGTCACAATCCCATGAAGCTGGCCCATATAGTAATTATTGGTTTACATCTCCATTTCCCTTACTAATCACTGGATGGCTATGAGAGAACACTGCCTAAGGTAAGCCTGTCTGATTAATCTGTATGCCCCCAAGAGGCTAGCAAGGTGCCAGGTATAATCAGTAAAGGGTTGTTGAATGAACAAATGAAAATAACATCATGTTCTCAATTCTAAAATGCACCAACTCTGATAGCTTTAACAGAAAGGTAGAAGAGTCATATTAAATGTCCTCGTTTATTGTAAGATGCTTTCCAGTTTCAGAATAGTTTACAAAATACAGGTCTTAGAACTGCGAAAACACCGTGGTGCTATTTAGCATCCTCTGTGATGGCTGTTCTTTTTTTTTTTTTGAGACGGAGTTCCAGGCTGGAGTGCAATGGCACGATCTCAGCTCACTGCAACCTCTGCCTCCCGGTTTCAAGTGATTCGCCTGCCTCAGCCTCTGAGTAGCTGGGATTACAGGCGCCCGCCACCACACCGGACTAATTTTTGTATTTTGGGTAGAGACGGGGTTTCACCATGTTGGCCAGGCTGGTCTTGGACTCCTGACCTCAGGTAATCTGCCTCCCTCGGCCTCCCAAAGTGCTAGGATTACAAGCGTGAGCCACCACGCTAGGCCTGAGGGCTCTTCTTATGCTCCACGGAAAGTGAGATGTTTCCTTCAGTTCTAAAGTAGGTTCCTGGGAACAACTTTCTCTCTTATTTTCTCTGACATCTGCTCTTGACTGAACCCTGGGCTGGAAATGGTCTGCAACCTCAGTTCATGATTGAAGAGACAATGAACTGTTCTTGTGAGCAGCAGGGTAGGTGACCAATCTACTAGTCTCTTACCAGACTTCTAGGTCTCCCTTGGGAGGAGGGCTCTCCAAGCCCCTTATGTTATTTAATGTAATGTGGCATCTTAAAACATCATCTCCCTGAGGAAAAGAGGTCTTGACTCCCAGTTGTAGCTCTTCTGGGTCTTTAGCTTCTCCGTCCCCTGCCTCGGTTTCCCCTTTTATACAGGGAGGAGAGCCGGTGGCTCCACAAGGAAACAGAGAGCAGGAAGTTGTTGGGGTGCAGGGTGGGGGCCATTGAATCAGAACAACTCCAAGGTATGTTCCTAGAGAGGTGGACAGTCTCCCAAGCCTCCCAAGCCTCCCAAGCCCACACCTCACCACCCCAAGCTTTCAAGATCGGAAAAGGTAGAGGAGGGAAGAGGGCCCACTGAACCTCCACCCCCAACTTTCAGCGCCGGAGGCAGTGTTCCCTCACACGCACCCTGGAAAGCCAGAATCCGGAGCCACCCCTTCCCCCACGTCTTCAGCCCCTCCCCCTGCGGCTTCCCCACCGCGGCCCCCTCCCCCCCATTACAGCATCGCTCTGGGCGCCAAGACGGATTCAAGCCAGGGGACTGCTGCAGTCAGCTCTCCGCCTCTCGGCTCCCGCAGCCTGTGTCCGGGCTCCGCAGCCTCAGCTGTGCTTCGAACAGCCCCTTTCCCCCGACCCCGACACCGCCACGGCACAATCCCAGGCTCAGGGCCCACAGGCGGGCGGGCACAGTGGGCACGGGCGGGGGCCCAGCACAGGCTGCAGGTACAGCGGGGCTCTCCCTCCACACTGGGGATGCCTCAGCTGTACGGACTGTGGGTGGGGGATGCCTGCCAGCGGCTCCGAGGCCGGGCACAGCGCCCCATCCTGGCAGGGGCTGGGGCAGAAGAAGGGGGGCCCCCTGACCCCAGGCCAGGAGCTGAGGTCGGGCGGCCGACTGGGAAAGCCCGAAGGAGAGTCTCCTAAGCGGACGGGCCTGGGAGCTGTGTGTGACATTCAGGGCGTGACTGCGCCTCGGCAGGGGGCGAGACCCGGTCAGTGAGGCTAAGCTGGCCCCCGGCCGCCCGCCCTCCGCCGGGCTTGGGTCCCTGTGCCCAGGTCGGCTGTGCGTGGCCGTGACACTTCGGGTGCCTGTTCCTGGGTCCCCGGGGAGGGGGATCTCATTCCTGCCCCTACGCTGGGCGCCCCCAGCACCGTCGCTCAGCGAGGTGGGCGCTCCTCGGGGACCCCGGCGGCCGCCCGCGGGCGGCGACCTTGGCTCTCCTGGGTCCGCGCGGGGGCGAGGAGCTCGGTCCCCCTCCCTCTCCCTCTCCCTCTCCCGGCTCGGTCGCCCTGCGCGGGGGCGGGGGCGGGGGCGGAGCGCGCGGGCGGGATCCCCCCCGCCTCCCCTTCCCGGTCCCCGGGAAATCCAGCCTCCGTGGCTTGGCCGCCTCCCGCTCCCGCGCCCGCTGCCGCTCGGCGCTCGCTCGGGGCTCCGTAGCCGGCGCGGCCCCTCAGCTGGGGGCTCCGCAGTGCCGGGCCCCGGTCCCTGCCCGCCTGCCCAACGCCGCAACGCCCCCGGCCCGGGCCGCTGGCACCATGTAACCCGGCCGTAGCCCGAGCCGGGCCAGGTAAGCCGCGGGGAGGAGTGGGGACGGGGCCGCGCTTGTGGCGCCCTCTGCAGCGCCCCCCAGGCTCGGCCCGGCTGCGGCCCGGGCGCCGCCCACGCCCCGGGCTCCAGCGGCCTCGGCTCCCGGCCCCGGGAGGGGGGAGGGGCTGGGCCTCCTCGGCTGCCCCCGCTCCTGCCCCAGCCTGGCTGCCAGCGGGCCAGACCCGAGGGGCGGGCGGGGACCACGCGGACCGCGGACCCACTCTCCCGGTCAGTGCCGCGGGGGCAGGCCAGCCCCGGCCCAGCCCTCGCCCGGCTGGAGGCTTGGGTCTGGGAGGGAGTAGCCCGCTGGTTGGTGGGGGAAGTCGTAGTGTTGGGGAGATCCGGAGAGAAGTTTCCTCTGCAGGTGTGTGAATGTGAGTGCGTGTCGCTGTGTGTCTGTGCCGAGTGTGTCACTGTGTGGGTCTGTGGGTGATTGTGTGTGCCGGTGAGTGTATGCCGTGTGTGCGTGTGCCACTGTGGGCGAGAGTGTGTGTGCATGTTAGTGGGTGTATGCAGCGTGAGTGTGGAGGGTGGTACTGTGTATGTATCTGTGGACATGTGAGTGAATGAGTGTGTGTTGTCCCCGTGTGTGTCTCTGTGAGTGTGTGAATGGATGTGTGTGCCGGTGTGACTATCTCTGTGAGTGGGTCCCGGTATCTGCCCTGTGTGACTGTGTGTGTGTGTGTGTGTGCGAGTGTGCGCGCGTGCGTTGGCTGTGTGAGAGAGAGTGTATCTGAGCACGGTTAACTCTGAATCACCCACACCTGTGCTTTGTCCCCCCACGGTCCTCCCATTCCTGGTGGGATATAGGACAGGGAGATGAGACTTTTCCGAGGTCAGATCATCCCCCCTTCTCTGGGGACCCCTGACCCTTCATTCAGGCAAGAGCTATGTGGCACTCCCCATCTTAGTCTCTACCTTCACCTACCTCAGGGGGTGCCCTCTGGGATGTTGTTGGTCGTGTCCTTCCTGCATGCTGAGGTCCCTGGTGGGTGGGAGGGGGGATCTGGGGTGAGCTGGAGTATGTGCCTGTGTGTGCTGCTTCTCCTTTTGGGGGCCTGGGAACTTGTGTCATCTCAATAATGCTTCACCGAGGGCCTTTTAGAGCTAGGAGATGAGGAGGCCAGGTGGAGGCGTCTGCCCTGTTAGTCATCAGAGCAGGTGGCGCTCTCCCAGACTTCCAAGTCCCAAGCCTTCAAGTTCTGGGTCATTGGTTCAGTCCACTGGCTCCGGGTCGGTCTGTACTAAGCTCTTTGAAGTAATAATAATAAAATAATGCCCTCATATTAGTTCAGGGCTTTTGAAAATGCTGCCCTCCGAACTCTTCTTATTTCCCCAACAGCCTTGGGAAGCAGGCAGGACAGGTATCACGTTAAGCCATATGAAATTGCCAATATTCAACTGTTTTTATTTAACCTACAAAAACAGCAATCTCACATGGTTCAACCAAATATAATGCCGATTTACAGATGAGGATGTTGAGGCTTGATAAATGAATTGCATTTCCCACAACCACACACTGCTAGTCAGTGGTACAGAAAGACTTCAGCCCAGGTCTTTCAGTGACCCAAAGCACTGGGCTGGGCCAAGGTTAGAGAGTGGTACTTCCTGGTGTGCTCTCTCTGACCCTGGGGGCACTGCCCTCTACCTCTGCGCAGCATTCCCTGAATACTGGGGCTACTTCTGCACCCAGCTGCCAATGCCTAAAAGAGAGAGGGGGGGAAAGGAGAGGAGGGAGGGGAGGGAGAGGCTTCGTGAGCTGGCAGTGAATCAGGGTCTAAAAAGGGAGCTGGGAGGGCTAGGGTGGCAGGTGTTTCTAAAAGGAACATGAACATAGGATGAACGGCCTCACATACAGCCCCCGCATCTCCCACCCGCCACTGCCCCACTGATCTGGCAGGCAGGGCCCACTGAATTTTGTGCCAGGGGGCTCACATCCAAGGAGTGAGCTTGTATGTAGCTGTAGAATGATGGCCAGGAGAGGAACCTTAGAATTGACTTGGTCCAATGTCTTCATTACAAACTGGGGACTCTGAAGCCCTGAGAAGGGAGCGGATTTGCCCAAGGTCACACAACAAATTTGTGGGTTCCTAGCCTAATCTTAGACCAGGAACTTTGCAATCCTCCATGTTGCCTTCTATTCCTGAACTTTCCCCACCCCCATCAGAGCTGAGTACAGGGGATTTTTGGAAAAGAAATGAAGACTCAAAAAGCCTAAGGCTGTACATCTTTCAACTTGGGACTCCTTGCCAAAGAGAGGGTGCTACAGATGTCGCTGGGGATGGGGATTCCTAGCCACACCCACCACCGAGGTAGGCCATGGGCTTGTCTTGTCTTGATTCCTGCTGGTGAGGGGCTGGAGCTGCTACAGGCCAGACTCCCAGACTTTCTCGTGTTAGTACCTGCTTTCGGCGGCTGCCTGACACCTAACATCATCTCTTCCAGCTGATGTTGGGGCTCGAGCTGGCTAAGCTTGTTTTCCTTCATCCTCCCCAATTTCCAATGCATTTTGCCTCTAGCTGGATGGACTATTCCTTACCTTATTGGGTTCCTAATGAATAGAGAAACTTCTGGGGCTTGTCTGATTTAGGAAGGGTCTGTAGTTACCCCTAAACCCTTTCTAATGAAATCTTCCAGGAGTCTAGGACAAATGATAAAGGGATTGCCCCCATATTACAGGTGGGGAGACTGAAATTCAGCAAGGGGCCCCGTATTTGGTTGCTTTTTAGTTTTTTGGGGGTGAGGTGGTGAAGGGAGCAAATGATGATAAAAACTTTTCCCTAGAGGAGCTTCCAAAGACCCCTTCTGGTCTTACCATCCCCATGGTCAGGAAACCTTCCCAGATTCTGATTTCATTCCCACTTGGTAGAGTCAAAGCTTTGTCACTCAGTGGGGGTTGGAAGAACAGCTGTGTACCCTCCACTATGCAAGCATTATGTCTTGATTTCCTCTTTATCCACCCCGCCCCTCCCCAGTCTGAAGGCTGCTGGCTCAGCGGGCCTCCTGCCGTCTGGGGAGTCTGGGTTTGAGCTGGGGTGAGGCAGTGGCACCATCGTTATGGTAACGAGCTGCCAGCTCATCGTTGCTAATAACTTGTCAGGCCCCTGGGCTCTATGCGGCATCTCTTTCTACCAGCCCTTCTTCCCATGTCACAGACAGAAAAAGTGAGGCTTTGAGGGAGGGGTCTGGGAATAAGGGAGTCTGGAGAAGTGGGTGGCCTTGTCCCTGGGACTGTAGCTGGAGAGCTGCGGGGAGGCTTCTTGGAAGCTGGTTTACACATATGGTTACATAGGCTTGCATATGATTGCGTGGGCTGTTAACATGTGAAAACACTCAGAACATGCTTGTATAAACTTATACATGCTAGCTGACATGTTCATGTGTTTTTACACAGCAGCCCACAGGCAAACATGCTTCCAAGCTTCAGAACATGCTTGTGCCTGAATACTGTCTCTACCATCTGCACATAAGGCACCCAAGAAATCTGGGTTTGTGGGGGTGTCCAGGTATGTGGGTGGGGATCTGATCTTTTTCTGATGCAGCTTCAAAGTGTCTTGTTAACAAAGGGACAGAATGGTCCCAGGGTTCCTTCTTCTTCCTTCCAGTCAAGAGCTCAGAGTGGAAGTGGGCTGGGGATGGTGTCGGGGACCCAAGCTCCTAGCTCCCAAAGGTCCCTGCTTCTATGCCCTTTGAGCTCAGGTAGTCTCTGCCCCCCTCACTCTCTGTTCTTTCTCATCCTCTCCTCTTCCTGTGTGTAAATATTAAAGAGCTGAGCCTGCAGGGCTGATGTAGACATGGGGAGAGAATGCAATTAAAAAGGATTCCCTCGCCCCCATCTCGACACCCCCGCCCCGCAGTCCCTCGCTCCTGCTTCTTCCCCTCTCCCCTCTCCCCTCCCCTCACTCAGTGCTTCCACATGTCTCTCCTCCCCCCAGTCCAGATGGGAGCTGGCTCCTTCAGAAAGGGGGCTCAGAACAGGGTTTGGGGAGCTACCTCTCTCTGCCTCCCCCCACCACATCTGTCTGCAGGGCTGGAAGCCCCCACGTGAGTATTTCTTTTATTTTTGGGGTGGTGATTAAGAAGGAAAGTGGTTTTTAGAACCAGCTGTGAGTGGCGTTGAGAGGCTCTGGGCTGAAGGAAGGTGGGTGGGGTCCTCTCTCAAGGCTCGCTCAGGGAAGCCCCATGTCTGGGTTTCTTTTCTCTCTTGGGACATAGAGGGAAGGTGGGGGGGATTGTCAGGTGCCCCCGGTGGATGGGAGCGACAGTGGGAGGGGCAGGGGAGAGGGGCTTCTGTTCTAAAGAGGGTGTGTGGTGGGGTAAGCCTGTTCCTTCCTGGCAGCCTGGGTTTCTGAATACCGGGGCCGGGAATGTCGCTGGGAACTGTCCCGGGTGCTGAATGGGATTCGGCGGGGATTTGCTCCTTCGGAGCTGTCCCGAGTGCTGAATGAGGCTTCGTTTGGTCCCGATGGTGGAAAGGCGGTGGGCAGTGGGAAGGGCTCACTAGAAAAATTCTCCCAGATGACCCACTTTCCAAGGGCACAGTCCCTGGATGGAAATATGTATTTGGGATTCTTCCTATGTTTTAGGTCTCACAGTTGTTAGTGGTATTTAGGAACCCTTCCGCCAAGGGGCCCCTCTCCCCTTTTGCTGTTTCAGTTCCTCCTCTCCCTTCCAAAACCATCCTACTGTTATTATTGGGGTAGAGTTGGAGAATGATTTTGTGCCTGTGAGACCTCATCTCCTGGGAGCGTTTTTTAGCGCAACAAGCTCAGAGATATTGATACCAGCTTTTCACCTACTGGGGCCCAGAAATTCAGGCTCAAGGTGCTTCTGGATTAAGAGAACTTGGGTCTTTCTGCTTAGGTATGGGGTGGTTACAGCTCAGGAGTTCAGGATCACTTGATTGACCGCTTGATATTCCCTTGCCCACCATACTTTGGGATTTGGGACAGGGGACACTGAAATATTCTGCAAGCCTGTCTTGTGTTCTGTCCATTTCCAAACCTAGCTCAGAGCAGCATTTGGGAGATACTTTTTGTTGGGGAGGAAGATTTTTAAGCAAAAGATTCAAGGAGTGGGTGGGGTTGTTCAGTGCCATGGAGAAGAGAAGGAGGAGGCTACTGGAGACAGGGCAGTGGGAAAAGAGGAAGATCTGGGGGAGTAAAAAATATTCAAATGGAGGGATGAGGTCTGGATCTCAGTCTTTAGTTCTCTTGGATATCTTTCTCCTTATTACTTAGAGTCAGGGTCATTTCAAGTATCTGTATCTTATGCACTGTCTTTGTAACTGTGAAGGGAATAGAGCAAGGAGTTATTTCTCAAGGTCCCTTCCCTTGTCATCCCAGGGAGATGAGAGCCAAATGTCAGGACATGCAGATGAGTCTGTAGGGGAATAACAGGCAGGAAGAGTTGATGGTGGCTTCACCTCCCATCCCCAAGAGTACAATCAAATATTCAAATGGGATCCTCCCGGTGAGGAGAGGAAGGAGACAGTTTCCAGATAATACTGGGCAAAAATTGGGTGTGACAGAGAGTTCAAGAAAAGGGAGAGGAATCTAGGGACCTCAAACTGAACCAGTTGATCCTTTCCCAGATGTGACTTGTAGTTCATAAGGAGCCCCTCACCCATCATGTTTTTGATGTAACTCATCAAGATGATTCCTGCCTTCTCTAGCTGCTTGGGAGGAGCTGAGTTTTCCTCTGCTGTGGGTGCTGGGAGGTGGTGGGTGTGGGTGTGGGTGCCTGTTTGGGGAGGGGAGGTGTTTGTGCTCCACTCAGCTCCCTTGGTTACATAACAGCTTTGATAAGACTTTACTTTGGAGCTGCTGCTCCTGCCTGAAGCAGTCACCCCTCCACCCCCACATGAAATGCTAGATGTCCACCCCCTTTTCCCTGGCCCCTTGGAGAGTCCTGCTCTTCCTGATCCACCGTTTCAGCAGCTGCTTCCCTGCCAGGAGGTGTCTGCAGCTTGCCTCTCTACTCCCTTCCCAGCTTCTGTTTTTAAAATACTTGCTTCTTTTGTTATTTGAGCCCAGGTCACCCCCTTTACATTTTTAAGCCCCCTGGTCTAACCTCTCCCTTGGCAAGGCCCACAGGCTGGGAAGGGAGAGGTTCACTCATCATGAAGTTGCCCTCTAGGGAAGAAAAGGGGTGTCCTAGGAGGTTTTAGTGCCCACAGTTAATTTTCTTACTGTTTCTTCCTCTGCCCCAATAACTGTTTTGGAGTTTGAGAGTGTTAGGCTTTTACCCAGAGGTACTGGGAGGAAGGCCTTTGCCCTTGATATTTTCTCTTTCTTTTCTTTCATTCTTTCTTTTTTAGAGTTAAGGGGTTGTGTGTACGGGGGGATTGTCTCCTGGGTTTGAAGAGGTACACCTACTTTATTGTTACTCCTACCAAGGTTGTCTGAGGAAATATTCATTTCTCTAGGCATGGGATGAGGGCATAACAGAGCCCTTTTTAAAAAAGTGACGTTTCTTTTCCCCCTGAGAGTGGGTGGGAATGGGATGTGTCCAGGAGTGGGTATATCTCATTGATAACAGGAACGACTTTCCAAATAGAGAAGTGGGAGACTAGCAAGAGGAGAGAGCAAACGCAAACTTGTGATGTACTTCTAGAGAATACGAACTTTGTGGACAGGATAGAAGCCAGGGGAGAGGCTGGATATCTCTGCAAGATCTGGGACTCCATGGACATGCATGTGTATTTCTGCCTGTGAGTGGGTATATGACTGTGTATATGTCCATAAGTATGTGTGAGTATGCTGTGTATATGTGTATAAGCACATTTATTTGTATAAGTGTGAATGTGTGTATATATATGTATGACTCTATGTATGCATTCATGTATATATGTGAATGAGAAGGAAATTACTGAATTAAACTAGTGTGTGTGTCTGTGTGTGTGTGTGGTGTGCTTATCCAGTAATGCATATGTGTGAGTGTAAGCATGCATGTGAGCATGTATATGGGGCATGCATATACATACCGTATCAACCACATATGAATATATGTACACAAGTTAAGCCAAACCTGTGAATAAATGTGAGAAAGAGAGAGAGAGACCAATTCTGACTGAATGTTGGGCTACCCAAAAGTGTCTTCCCATTACCTTGAACTTGATCACCCTGCTACTTGTAGCTCTTCTCCAGAAAGTAGGCTCTCTGAGGTCTCTCAAATTCTCATGTCCTTGGGAGCCAGCTCTTCTCCATCATATGAAAGGAGTTTGCAGAGGGAAAACCTATAAGGCCTTGGGGATAGCCGAGTAAGAAATCCAGGCTTCAGGCTCTTCAGATGCTGTGGTGCTCAGAGCTGTCTGTGGGGAAAGCGGATGGGAACTTAAATATTAACATTGCTACAGAGGTTTCAAAATCCAACAAGTTGGGCCTAGTGGATGAAAGGGATAGTGAGCAAGAGGGGAGCCCAAGTGCGTGCATAAGCCTCACACATACAACACGTAGCAATACACGTGTACAGGTACATGAGCATATTACTTGTCTGTGCCATAATAGGGATATATCAACATAGGTGCACTTTCTAACATGTACATCCATTAACAAATCTACAGGAGTGTCTATACCAACATGGGGATTTGTCAGCATGCACATACATGCTAACACATATACATGTGAACAGAATATACAGAAATATGTGGGCATATGCTAACATTTGTCTGATTACAACCCATGGCCCTACATTTGTGCATCTCACTCATCCAGGTTAACAATAGCTTGCAAACATATCCTTCCCCATCACATGTGCCTCACCCAGTGCATCCATTCATTCAACCAGTGGTTATTTTATGCCTCTAATGTGCCACATGCTGTGTTGGGCACTAGGGATGGTCCCTGACCTCTGATAACTTGCAATCTTGGGAGGATGAAGGACCTGGAACCAAATAAGGAGAGTGTTAAGGAGGGTAGGTACACTTAAGTGTTCATTGGAGGGATTGGGGACCTAAAGAGAGGTAGGTTGGCTCTGGAGTGGGGAAGGGAAAGGTTTGGTAAAGGATCCATAGAAGGGGAGGCTTTTGAGTTGACGCTTAAAAGTTGAACAGGTGCTTACCAGGTGAGCAACTATGGGAACAGGTATTTCAGTGACAGGAAATACTCCAGATGGTCTTCCCACTTCCACCCTTGCCAGCCCCACCTCCAAAGACTCTTCCCCAAAAAGCAGCCAGAGTAAAATGAGATCTTTCCTTTCCAGTTGCTTTCCATCTCACTCAGAGTGAAATCCAAAGTGTAGTGCATCCTGAGCAACATGAGTGCTATGTGTGCAAAGCCCCCTATTACCTCCTGGATCTCAGGGGCCACTCCTACGTGGGCTTCTTCTCTGTTCCATAAAAAGCACAGTTCCATGTGGAGGCAATCGCCCTTGCTTTTCCCCTCAGCCTGAAATGCTCTTCCCCCAGTTATCCAGGCAACTCACTTCCTCACTGTATTCAAGTCTTTGCTCAAAAGTCACGTATTTGGAAAGACCTCCCCAATAGTCTACCTTAAATAGCCCATTGTCATTCTATCTCCTCACTCCATTATTATTATTATTATTTATCTCAGTACTTGCCACCACCATTATTTTATATATTTGCTTATCATCCCTCTTTTTCCACTAGAATATAAACTTCATGAACACAGGAGCTTCATCTGTTTTGTTCATTGCTGTATCTACAGTGTCCAGAAGAGTATTCAGCTTGGAGTAGGCACTCGATACATATTTGTTGAATAAAGAAATTTTACATAGTTGGCAGCCAGTGAGGAGAAAGGATCAAGGTGGAGCAAGACGCAAGGCCGGGAGACCAGTTAGGAACCTGTTGTCATAGCTTTGGTGAGCAATTAGGATGAGAGTGGCCTGACCTAGAACACCAGCAGTGGGGGTGGAGAAAAGGAGACACAATCTACAAACACATGCGTGCACAAATATACATGCATGTGCTTGTACTTTAATCACATCTGTTGTTTTAGTAGGGGAAGGCTAAGGAAGAAAGTAAAAGTGTCTTTATGTGTATGTGTGGTATGTATGTCATGAACACCTCATGACAGGCTGGACAC